TGTGGTGATATTGTTGGTTGTGTTTGCGTAACACTGTCGTCATCATCCCCCCCCCCCACCCCCCCACCCCACCCCCCGCAGCAAGTCCAAAATCAAGAGGCCGAGTTAGCAAACTCGGCAAGTGGATTTTGAGACTTCTTATGATGATCGTACATGACGAAAGTGCTGTAAATACCGAGTAAATCGGATCTTAAGATGCCGCACTCCAACTACCAGGGAGACTATCAAATAAGTAAATAAGTAAGTAAACAAACAAATCAATAAATATACATATGCATACAGGTAGTCTATACTTAGGCTATAAAGTACACTCCTAAGTATAATTATACTGTATGGCCCCATGGAGCCTTAGATAATGGCAGAGGTTGAACACAATTGAACACAATAACCTCGCACAGGCTTGAAGAACAGCTTGACAAGGGCTGAAGGCATCTCAAAACCGCACGTGCCTGCTTGGTTTCCCTACACCCTTGCTCCTAAACCGTCCCAAACCCAGGTCCTGCTTTTTGGCTGGTCAGTCGTCTCTCGGGTTTGGATCCAGTGAGAAGGAAACAGGGCAGCCAGCAAGAATACAAAATTCAAAAAATGCTGAGGTTCAACCAGTAAGGTCACACTGAGCGGTTTTACTACAGTTTAAAGCTGTAGGGCTGCTGCTGGACTGTGCCACATGGATTCTAACTAGCACAGCGCTCCGCGACATACTGAACCTAAGCCGTAATTGCCAAACCCTCACCTGAACTTCATCCCAAGGCAGGTGGCGAAGGCATAGTCTAGGACGTGGTGATGCACATCTTCGAAGCTTCCACCACCTGCATAATTCTCTGAATTAGAGGTACTTTCTCTAGGTTTTCTTTACAATGAAGACCCAGCTCCGGCGCCCTAAAATAAAAATAGTTAGAACAGGGTGTTGGGTGAGTATTTAGTGTACTTAATACCAAGGAGCTCTGAGGAAGAATAGTGGCAATTCGATGTTTCATGCTTCTACTAGTATGTCTTGTCCCCAGACTCCCTGATGCAAAATGAAGGTCCTTTGGTGTTGAGGTAGTGTTCTCAAGGAACCAGGGTATCCCTTTTGAAAGGGTACCTTTATAAACCCTAGATACGCCTAAGCCCGAAATCCAAGGCCCTCATGCAACTAAAAACTATTCCCTGAAGCCCCACGGACTTCGAGCGAAACCTTACCCCCTTAGAAGGGGTTTGGGTTTAGGGTTAAGGGTTTATAGAGTTCAGGGTTTAGGCCTTAAGGGAACCTGCAAAGAAGCAGTTGAAGCCTAGTCACTTAGTCTCACTTACCAGACCAGCTACCTGTAGCCCAAACGGGCTACCTGCTTAAGAAACCGCAATAGGGAAACCTTAACAAGTAGGTTTTACAGGCAGAGACCGAAATGCACTAGACATACAGCAACTTAAAACGGAGCATTTTGGTTTGCTAGAAAAACAACCCTATACCCGGCCTGGAGGAAGCCAGAAATCCCAAACCCGGCAGAGGTGGTTCTCAAAGAGCAGCTCGCTTCCTTGCGGTTAACCGCAACAGCATAGTATCCGGTTACCTTGTCTTGGGAACCCAAATATCAACTGCGAAGCTACTACCTTGGTACTTGTGGGCGCTTTGGGACTACTAGGGTCTACCAAGCATACGGACTAAGGCAGCTTCATACACCTCTTCAACCTTTGAGCGCTACCGATGTGAGGGGCGGTCTGGCCATGGGGGGTTGAGGCATGGACGTAGGTTTTGGCAGGGCTTCGGGTTTTGCAGAACGCTGGTACCCTAAGGGTCCAAGTAGTCCTTATTTATGGGTTTAGGTACCCAAAAAAGGCCCCAAAGCCCTTAAATAATGGGCACTTGGACTCTTAGGGGTATGCTTTCGGCAGGTAACGGCAACAACGGACCAAGGTCTTGACTGAGGTCAGAGGAAGGCATAGAAGAACAATAAAGTCTATGCATAGCAGTAGTCAGCAGTCTCAATGAAAAACTATAACCCTCAAGAACAGCTTAACCCTTAATGCACTTCGGCATGGACAGTGATGGTGACTGTGAGAAGCGCCATTCAGGGGTTTCGGACTAGGGGGGGGGTCAGTGCCATCTGCGTGCGGCACAGGTTTTGCACCACCTAGCTCTGGTGGACGCTGAATCTGAAATCTGTCTTCGGGAGCCCATAGTTAAGGGTTTCTACCCATAGGCCCTAAAGTAATTAGTTCCTTTTTGGGGTTCATATATAGAACCCTATAAGGTATCCCCAAAAAGGAACTACTATGGGGCCTACGGGTAGTTTAGGGGTTTCGGATCAGTGCGGGGGATCGTTTCAGGACGAGGGTCGCAGTGTGGGGGGGCCCGACAAGGGCGACTTCCGTCCGATTCTTGCAGGCCAGGGCCTGAAACGGACCATAGTGTGAGACCCAAACGGACATGGTCCTAATCCGAGACTGTCCCGGGCCATGTTCCGAAGCTTTGCCCCGAAACTTCGAACCGAAACTGACCTCTAAAACCCTGAAACTGCGAACTTCCGCCCAGCTGCCCACATTTGTGGAGTATGTCGCTCGCGCTAGAAGGTCGCGGACCTGCTCCTGTCTTGGCGCTACATATTTAGCTGCTACGACCAACACCTGCCGTGACGATACAACATCATGCAAAGATATCCGCACAAACCAAAATGGGTTGACGGTTGACCGCCTGACACTCCAATATGACATCCGGCTATGCCTCCTAGGTTAAAACACGATTCAGCTTGTGCTGTTGTGACACAGATGAATGCACTATCGTCATCAGGTTCTTCATCATGCGAGCATCAATATCAACATCGACTCCATCGTCATCATCAGAAACAACATCATCCACGTAATCTGCACCCCCTCAGCAACAGCGGGAAGAGCAGGAGCAGCAGGACAACACGGTCAATTGCAACCACCTGATCGCGGTGCCTTGTGACCTCTTCATTTCCGTCGTCATTTGTAACGATTGGCGGCGATATAGGGCCGGGCAGGGGTGGGGGACGGGTGATGGGGGTGGGGGTAATGACGTGCGGGCCGGATGAGTGCATTGTTTTTTTTGTGCACTGTTGCGCGGTGAGTTGAGATGTGCGGGTCTGATGAGTCCAGCAATGCAGTGGAAACCGAGCCCCGCCGTACATTCTCGCTACATTCATAAATGCTTCTGGAGAATCTCATCCAGCAAGCCCTGTCAACTTGCCGCCCCAACTCCAAGGACTCAAGCCGAAAGACATTCATCCTTGGCCGACCTCTGTGTGCTTTGCAGGTTGCTTGATTTCAAAGATCACCTGAGAGTTTGGCAGAAAGTGAGCGGCAGGGAGTGGGTCAAACTGGGGTGCTTCGTGCTGAACACCTCCCCAAGTACTTAGCACAGGGGCCGTCAGGACCAGAATTTAGGTTTCGGGCAATTCAGAGTAGAAGTCTACGAAGACTAGAAGGAGGTATTATCAGCGACTCTTCACAACCTCTCTGTCACAAAACTCCAAACTCCAGATCCTAAATCTTCAGCCCACGCAGGCTTCCAACGGTTTCTGGGTTCCCCATCGGTTTCCTTAGGAGACACCCCAAAACAAAAAGGGCAAACGGGTGCTACTGGGGAACCTGGCTCATGCAACCTGAGATAGGGTTAGGGTTTAGGGTTTAGGGTTTAGGGGTTTAGGGTTTAGGGGTTTAGGGTCTAGGGGTTTAGGGTTTAGGGCAAGCACCCGAAGCTACCAAACGACAGGCCTCTGGAGACCAGCTAAGGCTTGTCTAGGACTTCCATGGCTGTTGAGTCCCAAAAGCCGAACCCCGCAACTTCAAGGCTTTTGGGCTACCACTTTAAAGGGTTTAGGGAGTTTAAGGGTTTAGGGTTTAGGGTTACTTCAAGGTTTTTGGGCTACCAATTTAAGGGCGCGACCAAAGTCTCCAATGGCGCAAGTCTATTGAAAAAAACACTGAGCCCCAGCTGCTTTGAACTCTCTACCCTAAACCCTCTAAGCCCTATAGGACAAGGGGACAGAAGAGGTGGAGGTTGCGCAGAGCTCAGAGCTCTCGTTGCTTTCAAGTCTCAAGATCGGTTAAAGTTAAGCGTTTAGGGTTTAGGAGTTTGGGTTTAGGGTTTAGGGCTTTGGTTTTAGGGTTTAGGATTTTAGGATTTCTGGTTTGTATTAGGATAGGATACGTGCTGTGCGCTGTATGCTGGAAATGGAGCTAGGGCTCTTTCGGTCTGTGGTTGATGGCGGTTTCAAGGTAACTCGTGGAATGAACGGCATTAAGGGTTTAGGGTTTAGGGGATACCTCTTACTACAGGGGTTTGAGTACCAAAAGCCATAAATAAGGATTACTTGGACTCTAAAATATTAGGTCATCCGTGAAACATGGGCGCTACAATGAAACGGGCCTAAACCCTAAACAGTAAACCCTAAAACCCTAAGCCCTAAACCGCCGAACCTTAAACCCCTACCTGCAGGAGCCCTTTCGCCCAGCCACTTGCCTGTACACGCTCTCGCCGATGTTTTTCAGTTGCCACTCTTTTCCGGCCTCGACAAAGAAGACCTCTGGGAATGGTCTTATAGGGTCACGGTTTCGGATTAACGGGTTAGGGTTCGTGGTTGCCGTTCAGGTGTGGGGTTTGAGTTTGCTGTTGTAGCTTTTGGATGCAGTAGGCATGTCGAGTTAGCGAATTTGGGGTTTAGCCTTTATAGACTCTAGCCTCCAAGCTGAAATGGGCAGGTTCGGACGCGGTTCAGGACGGTTTCAAGGGCTTTGGCCTTTTCGGATTGTGGATCCCTGAAATAACTCAGAACCCTCAGAACCAGCACCCCTAAACCTTGCATACAGCAGTTGTTTCAACAGAATGACATCTTCGTTTCATGACCTGGCTTGGTTTCGAAACCCTTAACCCTAAATCCTGACTGTAACAGTGTTTAAGGCTTTTTGCCCTATAATCCCTACGCTCCAACTTCTGAAACCCAGAACCCTAAAGCCCCAAGCACAAACACCCTAAACTTACTTCCCCAATAAGCCAGGGAAATCAAAGGTTAAACTTTCAGATTACTACTAAGTTATAAGAACCCAAAAAGCTTAAAGGTTGGGTATTGGGGAACTAAGTACCCTAAACCCTAAACCCTGAACCGAGTAAAGCACCAAAAAGCCCTTAATTGCCTTCTTGTCGGCATCATCCTCGGCGCCGGCGCCACGGTCGGCACGTCCTGGATCCACTTGCCAGCGCCTGCATTGCAGGGTACTTGGAGGACCATGGGACTTAGTAGGTTTAGGGTTTAGGGTTATAAGTCCCCTAATTGGGGTTATAAGTATAGTTACCTTAGTTATATCCCTACTTACTAAGTCCCATGATCCTTTAAGAAATGTCCGGCTTTGACTATGCAGGGCTCATACTGCGTCCGGGATTACCTGTAGTCTCCATTCTAGTTCCTTTTTGGGGATACCTTATAAAATCCTTAACAAATATTTGGTCAAACCAAAAAAGGAACTACAATGGAGACTGTAGGTAGGATTTAGGGTTTGGGGGATCCCTTGTGTGAACCCAGGCTCTGCTGATCAGCTGGGAAGCAGCACTGAAACCGTAAACCCTTCGGCTGCAGACTTATTGTATAGAAAAAACCCTAAGTAGAGAACTGCCCAAATAGCAACCTAGCCACACCGTTGGCAGGTCGTGGCGGGCGCAGAAGGAATCGCCCGGGGCCAGGCGGAAGTCAGATACTCGAATACCTCGGAGCTTCGATATGGGGGTTTCCGAAAATACGGGACCCTAATATAGTACCCTAATTATCAAAATCTTTATTATATAAGTACCCCCAAACTAGGGTACCCCTAATTTTCGGAAACTCTCCTCTTGGGGTCTGGGGTTGAGGAGGTTAGGGGTTCGGATCCAGAGCTTAATATGGGGGTTTCCGAAAATAGGGGACCCTAATATAGTACCTTAAATACTAGGATCCTTATTATAAGGACCCCAAAACAAGGTACCCCTAATTTTCGGAAACTCCCATATGGCTTAGGAGCATTTAGGAACTGTCTAGGGCTGCAGGGTTCGGGAGTTCAGGGCTTAGGGTAATTCGGGTTTGCGCAAGTTTACGTGCAGTGCACGGAAAAGGTGACTTTACGGCATTCTTGAAAGTCAAAGGTAGACCTAAACCCTAAACCCTGAACCCTGAACCCCCTGGACATGCACCCCAAACCCGCGCTGAAGACTTATACTCGAACTAGGTTGGTCTCTCTACACAGTATTACAGCCTATGAAACCGGTTCCCTCCTAGCCTTCGACAAGAGCATCTTCAGCAAACTATGGGGGAACATAGGTGACATCCCAATGCCGTGCTTACGAAACCCTGAACCCTAGACTCCCTAGGCTTTACAGCCGCAATCTAGGAGCCTCGCCTAGAGGAACATGTCGAATAATTCCTCCACCATTTTCAAGAGCCGCATGCAAAACTGTCTAACCCGCCGAACCGTGTGACAACAAGTCGCGGTCGTTGTCGAACAGGAGCCGAACCGGCGAGGACTTTTCGCCGCCTTCGGCCATGCCTCTGACCTTCTCGTTTGTGGGTGGGTGGGTGGGTGGCGGGGAGGGGGAGCGGGACTAGTGGGGAGCTTGGGTTTTGGGCTTAGGCTTCTTGGGTGTGCTTTTCAGGAGGTTAATATGGGCTTTATAGGGGTGATCAAGCTGTAACCTGAGAGTTTTTAGATGGCTTGTAGCGGGGCTATAAAAAGTTCTATATATATATATATACATATATATATATATATATATTCGTACACACATGCTGTTTGTGTGTTTAGAGCGTTGCATACGGATATGTGTGTATATATATATATATGTATACATATATATATATATATGTACATCGATATGGTCTCAGTATGTCTCAGTTTTGTTGGGCTCTTCTGAAGCGGGGAGTCGTGGGTTTAGGTTTTGGAGGTTTCGGAAAGTGGTTGCAGAAATTGTTTGCTGAGCTGAGGGGGAGGGCATGTATGAAGGCGAGTATCTTGACAAGTGTCTGCACTGCTAATGTAAGCACCTCATAAACCAAAGCTTGTTTTACGGACATGACTATTAGGATTCCTACTACAGTTCTAAATACTTATGAAGGTGCGGGGGTTCATTAATCCGGTGAAAGAAAACCTGAAGCCCTCGACAGTCACCGTTCCACACCCCAGGTGGCTGACGATAGCTGGCTGGGGTCCGAAACCCTCAATCTACCTTAGAGGCACTCTAAACAGAAACTCTAAATACTCAAGGATTGTTGGATAGGATACCTCTTTAAGGAACCTATAGCACAGGTAGGTTCAGTCCGAGAAGCCTTCTGGGTAAGATGCCGTTGCGGAGCGGATCTCCAGCCGGCAAATGCCTGCTTCCCGCTCTACAGAAGCTGCGAATGAGTGACTCATGCAAGCTTACCGGTCTTCGTTCCAACATGGAGGTCTATGAGGACTTTACTTGCGCTTAGGGTTGAAGTGTCGTCCCTTTGCTTGGTCACGTGTTTTCTGCTAGTATTATAAGGTATCCAGATCAGTACCACAGACACTTCAGGGTCTAAGAGTCTAGCCGCAGTTCACTCGTTCAATGGGGCTAAAAGTCCCCTAATGTGGCTAACCCTAAACCCTAAACCCTAAACCCTAAACCCTAAACCCTAAACCCTAAACCCTAAACCCTAGCTACACTCAGCCACTCCAAGTAGGGTCAGGCATTGAACCCTACTCCCCAGCTCCCAACAGCCTGAACCCATCCTCATGCCTTTCAATTTCGAGTTTAAGGTTTGGGACTTGAGCTTTAGTATAAAACCCTAAACTCTACACTTCAGGGTTCCTAAAAATCTTAACCCTAAACTTTAGGCTTCCTAAATAGTTTCCATCCTAAACTTTAGGTTTCCATGGTTTCCTAAGATCCAATGCAGAACGATGCGCCCGACCGCCAGGGACGAAGCAACGAAGCACCGTCACTGTAGCCAGCAGCCGGAGCAGCGCACGCATGCTCCGATCCACCGTTCCAGTCGTGCTTTAAAGGTTGACAAGGGTTTAGGGCTTAAGGTGTAGGGAACCCTCTTCAGTTCCCTGCACCTCGACCCCTAAACCATGATTGTGTGCCTCACCAGGCCGTTGTGGTTGTGCAACTTGCTGGATATGTCTGTTGAGTAGTTCATCGAAGCTCCACAGCAGTGCTCAACTTTGCTGCCATTGCTAGAGTCTGCTAGAGGTACAGAATCGTTCTGGGCCGGAGTTCACAGAGTCGAAGCTGCAGGCAGTATACATGGCAGTTTCGTTCGTTTCGGATGCATCAACGGAGAACGCAGTTGCATTTCACATCAGCGGCTTGTGGCTGTGTCGACGTGTTGACTTGCCGATGGAATGATATTCACAGCCTTATCAAAATCTGAGTTTTCCACATTCAGCATATGATGTGTGTATGTCAAATTGAATATCGTGAACACTTGCAAAAGCACAAGTATGTATGTATGGACGTATGATACAGAGAAACTACTTCATGATGCCTACAAAGAACAGCATGTGTAGTCGACCTCCAAGGAGCTCCTGTCGTTATTTGCAGAGCAAAGCTGTGAGCGGCTGTGCCTGAAGAGACTAGGGTTTAGGGTTTGGTTTAGGGTTTGGGGTTTAGGGTTTAGGGTTTATGCCAAGACCGCATCGCAAACCCCAAACCCCTTAAAGCCCCTGGTGTATCCTCATATCCTAAACCCCGAAACCCTATGGTGTAAGTTTCCGGACTCCGGCCCATCCCCTGTCAACGGGCCCCTCGGAACCGGAACCATCTGAAAACCCGACCCGGTAATATACCCAGCCCCAAGTGCCCCTTAATCGAGCCCCTATGGTCCTTAATAGTGGGGATGTAGGGTAGAATAGATAGAGGGTAGTTGGGGGTCTAGGTACCCACCCCCCCCGCACGTCTCCGAACGCAAGCAATTTTTTATGCAGCCCTTGCCGATGTCTGTGGTGACGAAATCGTAAGCCTCGGCAGCACGAGGTCCAGTCAAGGACGAACGAAGAATACTCAACGCACTACTATTTGGAGTGCTATTTGGAGTTTAGGTTTCGTTGAAGGCTTTACTGTGTTAGGGTTTGGGGTCTACATGCTTGGCCTCTCTTGGGTCTGAGGTTTAAGGTGTCGGCTATCACCCCTAGACAATTTTCACGGATCCGTTTCTGATATTATGGGGCTCAGGGGTTATACTTGGGTGCTTCAAGATTCATGCCATGGCGCTGCGCCCTTGAAGCAAATGCTTCCGGAGGTAAGCCTGAATATGAGTACTCCTTGGAGAAACCCTGAAAACAGCCCTTGAATAGGAACCCATGTAGACATGCTTGTAGGACCCCGTGCTGCAGGTGTGTTCCAAGTTTCTGGCGCGTATTGTAACTAGGCCCATAATTTAGGAAATCTTAAAGTCGGTAACCATAATATCAACATATACCCGATGCCAATCTGACTTCGAACCCTAAACCCTAAACCCCAAAAACCATTTTGTTAGAATTCCCAAGGCGCCTGGATCTCCCAGCCGGGTTTCCAGACGTCCTGGCTTTCTCCTGCATGAGACATACTCTGGGGCTTCGGGTTTAGGGTTCAATCCATAGTAGACGAAGACTTGTTCGCGCTGGCTTCGGGTGTAGTGCAGGGCTGTTATTTTGGATTTAGGGTTTCCCTAAACCCTAAACCCTAAACCCTAAACCCTAAACCCTAAGTTTCGGGTTAAGGGCTTTAGAGCTTCAGGCGTTTGGGGTTTAGGATTTTAGAGGCTTCAGGGTTTTGTTCCGTCCCACTGAGCAAGGACGAGCCATTCAGGGTTTAGGGCTTGGGGATTAGGGTTTAGGGTTTAGGGTTCAGGGTTTAGGGCTTGGGGATTAAGATTCCTTGAAAGGGCTATTGCAAGGTTCTCTGAAGGATTGTTTGCAGGTGTCTTTACAGGAGTTTCTTGTTCAAGTGCTCCTTATATTGCAGGCTTAGTTACAGCCTGCGTCCAAGGTTTCTTCAAGAGGATTTTCATAGCAGGGTGGTAGGTATACTATACTATAAATATAATACGGAACCCCCAAAATAGTATAGGTAATTATTAAGGCCCCTATGAGTTGCAGGGCTGTTTGTCTGGCTCTTTCTCCAAAGGACGGTTTGGAGGTTAGAGCTTAGTGGGTTCAGAACTTCCGGCTGGAGGGATGGCAGGCTTGGGCTGTTGGGCTGAGGGTTTAGGGTTTCGGGGTTTAGGGTTTTTCTTGTGAATAGTGTTTGAAAGCTTCTTTCGCCGAGAGGGGGTGAATTAACTGCAGGATTGTATGCAGAACCCTGTGGAAGAAGAGGTTTTTGGGTCGTCTGGACAGGGTTTGAGGATCAGGCACAGGCTTTGGAGAAAAGGGCTAACGGATAAGTGACGGGTTTAAGGTTTAGAGTTAAGGGCTTGGAGCTTCGGGTTGGTTATGAGATGCTATTTTTTAGGCTTAGGGTTTAAAGCGACACCTAGGCAAGCTCGAGGCTCGAGGCCGTCCACAGTATGTTGTTCGATGCTTCGGTCTCCGAATTGCGTAGACATGACATGAACCTTGGCTGCATCGAAGAAGATTCAGGGCGATAGACAAGGAAGACGAGATCCTTGATTGTACAACTTTGAGAGGCTGGAGACCACAAAAGCAGTCTAGCGTTCGTGTGCACGAACACTGAAACTCCTTTCCCTTCGCAGTCGGAGACGACTTTGAAGACAAATCCAACGATTTCCTCGTCGTCCTCGTAGGAAGCTTGATGGCCATAAGTCTCCCTGTATGTCTCGAACGAAAACTGATCACGTGGATCTTCGAGCCTGTATTGTCCTCCTTAGAATTTTCGGCAGCCATGTCTGCAACTTCATAGCTGTTTTCCGGTGGAGGGTCCGACCTGATTCGCCCATAGATCGGAACTGGCTGATCCAAACCTGCGACCGTGCTCCTGCCGAAGTCTGTCACTATGTCGCACCCGAAGAGCCCCCATACAAGAGTGTCTTCCCCCCACAGAAGCAGAAGACTTTTCAGGGAAAGCAGAGAATCTCACGACTTCGGTATGGTTGCCTATGATTCTTATACTGAACTATGTAGATTTCAGGGTGCTGATGATCTCACCGCAGTAATTACAACAAACTATAACAACAAAGGCTGCAACACATCAGTACGGACAAGACCTTATAGTGTACGCAGTACACCTACAATATATGTATATATATATAATTATGGACTACAAGGGTCAGGGGGATATGATTTCCAATTTTCCGTAAACCCCGCAAAAGCCTTCAAAGAGAACCCTTAAAGGGGATATTACGATAGAACTCATGGGGATGTTGGTTAGATACGACTTCTCCCTAAACACCGCAAGAAAATCTGAAAAAGAACCCTTAAAGTGGACATCATATGATTCGGATATGACTGCTCCTTATTCCGACCCTGCAGCGACCAGCCCCTGTCCAGCCTAATCCTCCTCACTGTCCGACCGCTGGTGCCTCGAAGGAGGGGGTGCAATGCTTAGAGTGCTGGGACTGTAAGGCTGCAGGTTTAGTTTAGGGTTTTTAGGGGCTCAGGGTTTGCCGACTATCCCAAACTTTCGAACGATTTCGGATTCCAGGCTTTATCGTGGCCTACCGGTCCTGGTAGAAAGCCTACATTACCGTAGTCGTTGCTGTAAGGAACCTGGCTACAAAGTTGTTTATGGAGGAGCCCGGAGCCTAGAGAAAGGCAGTTGCGATGCTGGCACTGGACGCGAGCCTGTAGAGTTCTCCACTGGCTGGTACAGGGCTACTTCCATTGCAAGCTGTCTTGCTGTTCATACGAGGACGAGGACGACGACGACGACTGTTACGTCACATAAAGCACATTGACTACACATGTACTGAAGGGCAATCTGAAGGCCCATTAGGAACATGTTTCTGTGTGTGCTTGGTGATATATGTATATATACTGTATATATACATATATACACATACATACATACATACATACATACATACATACATACATACATACAAACATACATACATACATACATACACGCATACATACATACATGCATACATACATACATACATACATACATATATATATATATACACATGCATACATACATACACATACACACACATACATACATACATACATACATACATACATACAT